GATTTAGGGCACAATCCTAACTAGCCAGGCTGGCCTTAAGCTGGCTGAATCATACTCTCACAATTAAGAGGGAGATGTCTGTCAAAGGTACAGTGTGCTATTTCCCCCAAAATGCAAGTCCTTTCTGCAGCAGGCATGAAACCCATTGCAACACCAGTTTGTACCGTAGAAAGCTAGTGCATCTGGTGCAGTCAGAGTGCCCCCATGAGATCTGCCTATCTGTCATTTAAACATCCACCCACCCCACTGTCTGGGAGAACCACAGGAGGCAGCCAAAAAAACTTCTGTTTATTGATCTATAGGATGGCCTCACATTACTCCCTCTTCCCCCTGCCCTAGCTCATGATTAGTGGCAAGGTTAGTGACTAGAGCTGTGTAAAGTTATACTTCAGGCAATAATTCTTAGGCTGTGCTTTCCAGGGATCCTATAGTCTGGTGTCCATCTGACACAACTCTACACAATTCTACGCAAGTCTACACAATCCAAGGCCTGGCCCTTTCGCTGTCCCTCTTCCTGCTCTCCTTCCTGGTTGGGTAATGTTGAGTTTGCACTTCTTGTTGTTGTTGCTGTTGTTGTTGTTGTTGTTGTTATTTTATTATTATTATTAATTCTATTTATACCCTGCCTATCTGGTCATTGCGACCACTCTAGGCAGCTTACAACATACAACTTGGACTCTCCCTTCTGTTTTTACTCATGATTGGGCAACATGGGTCCCTTCTACAATACTAAATTTGTGGCTTATGATTGGAGGGCCAGCTTGAATCCCTACCACTGCCAATCTATCTGCCCCTTATCTCCTGGTTCATGATGGGTGGGGCAATTTGAATCCCTCCCACCGTCTCCTTTTGGTTCATGATTGGTCGGGCCTGCTTGTATCAATCCCAGTGATATCTTGCCCACCCCCTACCTCCTGACTGATGATTAGGGCACCAGCCTGTATCTATGCCAGTGACTTCCCAGCACCCTCAGACTCATGAGTCATCCCATTCAAACAGCTCATGATTGGCAAACCATGCATTCCTTCCCACCCTTCCCATCATTATCAATGAAAATAGGGTTTGTGTCCCTCCCTGAGCATGGCCCTGAGCTACCTTGTCTATTAAAGAAACTTGACTCAGAGTCATAGCATTGTATTGTATTGTACATAGCATTGAATTGAGCAGGTATCTTTCCTCAGAAGCACCCTTGTATCTTAGACATGAGCGTGACACGCCCCTCCGTGAGTGTGACCTGTGAGCACGGGGGTGCCCCTGCCCCCCAAGTGGTCCGTGCATGGACCCCGCACCCCCCAAATGGTCCGTGGTCCCAAAAAGGTTAGGGACTGCTGGTATAGTGTATAGAATGACAAAGTAAAGCATAGGAGGGCTGGGTTTGAATCCTTGTTCAGTCACAGAAGCTCACTTGGGGTGTAAAACTAGTAAAATCACTCTTTAAACATTTACCTTGAAAGCCCTGTTAGGGTTGGTATAAAAAAGCTCATGCATTTGGAAGAAAATATAAAATCCAGAATTCAGCATCTAAGGGCGCATTCCTATTTCCAAGTCATATCATGTTTACAAATGAAATCCTGTATATTTTACTTTCTTGAGTCTAAACCCATTAACACAATAGGCCGTTCTTCCCCAAACAACAGATTAGCTGGACTGGAGTAAGAAAGATAGTTTAACTATGGTTAGGCCTATATTGAAAATCAACTGTACGCTAATACTATCAAAGGCTTTGCTGATCAATTCCATTAGGGACTGGAGTGGCATGTGGCATGTGGCATGTGGCATGTGCAATGTGCTGTTTAGTTGGGGTGGAAGTTAAAGTGTAACAACAGTCCATCAAGATGGCATTTTTGAGTTAGTGGGAAAATTGTGGACTTGATCCAGAGGCTGATTTACCTCACTTTACACATAATGGTTTGGTGTTTTGTTTTATTTCATTATGGGATGTGTGTGTGTCTAATAACAGTAGCATTTGAAGTTCTTTTAAGACTGCTATATGATCTTTCTTCAACTGAATTTTATTTCAAACCACAATAACTTAGAAAAAAATGTTACCAGTGACTGCCAGTGAATATTTTAGGTAAATGTTGTCCTCTGTTTCCAGGGGAAGATCAGATGTTTCGTTCTGTGGAAGGTCAGGCTGCATCAGATGAAGAGGAAGAAAAATGGACAGGAGATCAGCAGTTCCAGGTGGCTGAAGTGAAGAAACTCCTAGCCAGACTTCCTTGTTGCAGTAATGGGTATGTCTTAGGATGTGATTTAGACATGTGAATATAATTAGAAGGGGACGATTTTATTTGTGAAAAAGATTTAATGAATGACTTAGCAAAATTATATAGATAAGATAGGCTTTGAATAAGAAAATCTGATATGTTTTTTAGACACTAAAGGACAGTAACGCATCTCATACATCCATGAATGTCACCCGCAGCCATTGAACATATGTTATTAAAACCATCTGATTCAAGTAGACGCTAGAGATGAGACAGAAGCTTCCTACACTGAATTCCCTGGCATATGTGAGGTTCAGATGGTAGATTCAACTAGTGTGATTCAGTGCCAGAGAGAAATGCCAGAGGCTGTCATCTTAGAGAGCATATTGGCATGCAAGGGGAAAGCTGTTCATGCAAACAAGGTGCCTTTGCAGTTTTTGTTGCAGCCACACACACTTCCAAAAGGGAAAGCTGGCATTAAATCAGAGAAGCAGCTTCTTCGTTAAACCATGTAAATGAAGAGCTTCTGGAGAATCTTCTGTGATTAGCCCTAGTTGCATGTAAGGTGCTTCATCTTGTGTGCAAAGAGCTTTCGGGGGTTACACCCAAAAGCAAAGGCCTTACTCTAGGTGAGAGATTGTTTTTTTAGAAATGTACAGTTTATTCTTAATGCCACATGACTGACCTATTTTTCATGATCCAAGTTGGGGAAATTTCACAAATTGTACAGGAGGAAAGTGCATGCCCCATTTCCTTCCTGCCCAGGGTAATCACACAGCCTCCATTGGTTTCAAACCAGTGTTCAGCAATGAGTTTCTGTTTATTGAGGTTCCTGGCCCAAACATTTTAGGCCATGCATCATGATCTCTAACGATATTAGGCCATGGCTGAGAGACAAACAGTCATGGCAGCCTTCTACCCCCAGGTGCGATGACACAATGATGAAGAAGCTGATATCTTCCTTTGGGAACACCAGCAGGGACGGCTGTGAGAAGACCATTGTGGAGCTGGTTGGACGGCTCTCAAGGTTAACGGAACAGCTCGAGATGAAAGGGCAGGAAGTGAAAGCACTAGAAACAAATATGGAAGAGGTCAGTGCATTTGTACTTTGCCATGAGGGGGTGAAAAATGAGTGTGTTGCTACAGATCCAAAGAGCTGTTTGCACCCAAGTGCTGCTGAGCCGGTGGTTGCTTTTCTGACCATAGGTCCTTACATTTTGTTATGAGCCATCTCAAACGGTCACTCATCTCTCTGTTGAGTGGTCTGAGCTTTGGAGATGCTCAGAAAGCCTGCTCTGAATATTCAGTTTTGTCACACACCCATTTTGATCCCAGCCAGTGTATAAGATTCATTCATAACATGTTTCTTGTAAGACAGTAATTTCTCTTTCTGACTGTCTTTTTCTGAACATGCCCTTCATGGAGCTTGTGCATCTCCAGATATTGTTAAGTAAGACCACCGTTATCAGCTCTGACTAGTCTAGCCAATGCTGGGAGTGGCAGTCCAACAACATCTGGAAGGCCTCAAGCTGCCTCCCCCTGCTCAAAAACATGAGTTCCTCACACTTGCCTTGTGGCGTTCTCCATAGCTAGCTGGCTCAAAGCTCTCAAAATGACCCTGCCCTGACAGAGTGAAGAGCACTGGGCACCAGGGAATGCCTCTTTGTACACAGAAATAAGTAAATAGCTCTTATATTCTGCAAACGTAAATATGTTCCTTACTACAATTGCAAATCCTCCTCCTCCTCCCACATTGAGAATGGTTAAACTTTTTTGACTAGGGAAATTCCATGCATATGGGGCAGGCCTTATTTTTCAGACTCACCGCTAGCCACTGCCAATACTGCCTTTCCTTCTCTATATAAGGCTACTACAGATGTGTGAAAGGGGACATTACACAATTTATCTTTTTATCCCTTCAGTGCCAACTCGTCTTAAGAGGTAGATCTCATGTCCTGAGAAGGACAGACTTATCTGGGGATCAGAATTTCTAATCTTCTGAATACATACTAGAATACATGCACATTAAACTTTAATTATTGCAACAGTTTTGGTACCCAAAGATCCAGCATCTCTGAGTCTCTGAAATCCTTAGGACGCACTACTCAATTGTAGATGAATATTTTAAGTTATAATGGGAATTGTAGATAAGCTGTTGCTAGGTGAGCAGGAAAAACGGTGTCTCATTGGTATGGGTCTTTGGTTGGTTTTGAAAGTCAGTACAAACAAAAGAAGCATAGCAGAACTTAATTCAGCTGCAGGCAGATCAAGAATAATAGCCACGTGTATGGATCAATAATTGATCCAATCTTGAAGCACAAAGGCCAGGAGATGAAGAAGGTTGTTTAACTTTGATTCTTTTTAACGTGTGTTCTGATGCGTAACAATGATAAATTCAGAGAGCCATCTTCCGGAGAAAGTTTAATGAAGATGTCAGATTATAAATGATAGACTGAAGAAAACATGAGTAAATCCTAGAGATAAGGTGATCCTTTAGCAAGCCTAGACCTGTAAAATGTTGATTTGGGGAGCAGAGAGTGACAGAAGACATTTTATGGACAAATTAATCAAAGAGTAGGGCAACTTTCATCCATCAAGAAATGTACTTTACCTGTATATGGGCAATAAACCACAAACATTTACTAAACATTTACTAAATTGCTCTTTCACTTACTTCTGCATGAACACAGGGATGCTGCTTGCTTCCATGCATCTACCTTAATGTGCACAGCCAGTCAAATGCAGACTTGCGGTTGGGGCTGCATGAATGGATCCAATGCTGATCTGTGCAGTTGTTTTTTCCTCGCTATGGTTCCATCCATAGTATCTTTTCCTCCTCATCCATCATTAACTCACATGCTGCCATTGCATCCTAGATTTGCACACTATTCCAGGTCAGAAATGAAAGAGAAAACTGGTGCATGAGGTGGTACAAGAGGGATGCACAAGCACTGTGTTTGATGGTCTAGCACCAAACTAATGCTTGGTGTAATGTCTCAACCAATCCATGATCTGTGATTACAAATAATAGTAACCAACATCTGTTCTATGCAAAAACAACATTATATGGTTTCAGTTTAGAAAGCCACCTGACTAATCTTGGGGCCAACAGAACATGGCCATCCTGACTGTGGCATCCTGAGACATAGTCTAAAAGAGTTTGATTAGGAACCGTTGCTCGAGACAAAGTACTTTTGAAACAGGTGGGAAAGAAGCCCTGTGGTGCAGTGGTTAAAGTGCAGTACTGCAGCCACGCCTCTGCTCACAACTGACTTTGGTCCTAGAAGGTTCTGTGGTCAGTGAAATGAGTACCCACCTCACTGGGGTTTGGGGGCAGTGTGTACCCTGCATAACTATGTCGGAAACTGCCCAGAGAGTGCTCTAGAACTATGGGGCAGTACAAAACAACAGCAGCCACCTTTCCATGGACACAGGCAAGGATCCCGCTAAGCTAGGCATGCACACGTGCACGCATGACTATGCTTCCCTCGGCATAGCTGTCTTCATCCACACAGTGATCACATTAAGTTCCAGTCCCAGTGCACAGGGGGCGGAGTTGTGTGGACACACAGGGGTGAAGACATGCACACAAGAAGCAGAGCCCCATCCAATGGGACTGAAAATTAGAGGGTACGTTGAAAATCTTAACATGGCCTGGATAGATTATAATAAGGCATTTGACTCATTGTCGCATAGTTGCATTAATACCTGCCTAAAAAATTTTGAGATATGAGCTATGCTGGTGGTAGTGTTGCTACCTGCAAAGTCTCCCAAGCCAGACAGATCTCAGCTGGGAAGCCAGACCAACTGTTTCCACCAACCATCAATTATGGTGAGAGGAGATAAACAGAAATCCATACCAGAATGGTCATTGCTCAGGTCAACAGGACCCGCATCAGATACGTTTAACATCTCATTAATCCCCATGTCAATAATTTCAAATAATAATAATAGGAAGTAGACCTGTAGATGTGCACCTAAACATAGCTCTGTTGCAAAGCTACTGAAACAATGTAAACGCAAAACTTGGACTCCTGCCAAAAATGGAGAAATGATGAAATGTTATTATGAGGCAAACCCAACAGCCTGTGGTTTTCAAAAAAGAATACAGTAATGGAAATTTGGAAAAGAATAAACTGAATAGTGACATAACTCAACAACAATTAATGGACAAGAGAAAGTTTATCATTTGGAGTAAAGTATTTTCAGAACAGGAACTGCAAGAGTTAGAAAAGGTGGCAAAAGAAGCGTCTTATAAACGGAAGGAAGCAGTCGCGCTCGCTCGCTCGGGGGCCTCTTGCTGCCACCGCTATCGCCTAATTGCCTCTTTCAGAGCTCAGGGCTTTTCCCCTCTGGCCAAGGCAGCAGCAGCAGCAGGCAGAGATGGAAGTGAAGGAGCATTCGCACACACTCTGGCGCCTCTTGATGCCTGCCTCCCCCTCTGCCTCGCCCGTTGGGAAACAAATGGAGGGTAGAGGTAGATGTAATGGTGGAAGAGAACGTATCAGTAGATACTATGGAACAACCCAGAAATTATGAGTTGACAGAAAGGCAGATGTCACTGGGAAAACATAGTTAGAGGCATAGGCGAAGGAGCATTCACACGCCTTCCGGCACCTCTGGGCTGCTGCCTCCCCCCCCTCGCCTGCCCGATCACCACTGCCTTGTCCCCTCCCATGATGGAGGCAGTGGGAGGCGCATATGAAAAAGTAAAAGCTAAACTATGCAAAAGATATGACCTAGAGAGGAAAACAGTTGTTGAAATTGTGGAAGAATTAAAACAACGGGTAACAGCTACAGCAAAGAAAATGTAAAGATACGATGAACGCTTGAAACAATATAGGGAAAACGTGCAATTTCAAAATGACCAACGATCATTCTGTACATCACTAGGAGAAAAGGCAGAGCAAAAGAAACTGGGCCCATGTAAAGATGATGCTCTAATATTTTGGAAAGAAATTTGGAAAAGCCCAGTCAGACATAATAAAAACACCTCATGGATTAAAGGTATTTGTAAAGAAACTCAGGGAAAACGTATTAATGATATTGTAATAACAACTTAAATAATTAAAAGACAAGTAAAGACTGTGAAAAACTGGAGTGCACCTGGTCCAGATGAGCTCAAGGGATTTTGGTTAAAGCATTTAACAAGTATCCATCAAAGTATAGCAGTGCAATGTAATTTATTATTTATTTATTAAACTTATATACCGCCCATCTAGAACGTGTCTATTCTGGGCGGTTTACACAAAATATAAAAAATAAACTAAGAAGGTATAAATGAACTAAAGATACAACCTAAATTGACAGCAAAATCCAAGATGGAAAAAGAAAAAAGAAAAATTGTAGGCTAGGTGATGGCTGTAGGGAAGGCTTGCCTGTATAGCCATGTCTTCAGATTGGTCTTAAAGGCCCTCAGCGAGGGGGCCAGGTGGATCTCTACAGGTAAGTTGTAATCACCTGCTTCAGAATGCCACAACAGAATATTGGATGACAACAGGTGCACGTTTCTAACAATAAAACATCATCAACGGGTCAATGAACCCAGTAATTATCAACCAATTACATGCCTTCCAACAAAATTCAAGCTCCTCACAGAAGTATTTGCAAGGTCACTACAGAATTATTTAATTGAAAACTCAACTTGAACAGAAAGAGAACTTTAAAAAGTCAAGAGGCACAAAAGATCAGCTGCTTATTGATAAAATGATATTAAAGAATGCAAAAAGATGAAAAACAAATCTTAACATGGCCTGGATAGATTATAATAAGGCATTTGACTCATTGTCGCATAGCTGCATTAATACCTGCCTAAAAATTTTTGAGATTATAAATATCCAGAAGTTCCTCAAGAAAAACATGGAGAAATGGAAAACTATCTTAATGGCCTATGGTCAAGAAATTGAGGGAGTGAGCATCAAAAGAGGAATATTTCAAGGGGACTGTTTGTCATCACTGTTGTTTAACATCTCATTAATCCCCATGTCAATAATTTCAAATAATAATAATAGGAAGTAGACCTGTAGATGTGCACCTAAACATAGCTCGATTGTGGTTCTAGACTGTTTTTCAGCAGCACTTACTGTATTTT